ATATTTTTATCCTATCTTTTATGCATTTTGATCAACTCAAGACAGTGAACATAGCTACTTCTCCTGCCCCCTATTTCCCCCCCCCACCACAACCCAGTGAAGTGGGTTGGGCTGGGGGAGAGGGGCTGGCCCAAAGTCACCCAGGCGGCTTTCATGCCTAAGGGAGGCCTGAACTCACCATCTCCTGGTTTCTGGGCCCACATCTTCACCTCTACGCCTAACTGGCTCTCAAGAGTCAAGAGAATGGTTAACACATTTTATCAACGAATGAAAGGTCTCTGGTAGGTATGGCTAGACACACTCTTGGCAAAAGGCAAATGGAATAGCTTGCTCCCCACCACTCCTCTGTAGACCCCTTTCTTGCCTCACCAGATTTATTTTTTTTAAGCCTCTGTTGATTAATACAAAACAGTAGAGAAACTACTATGCTGCAACTCATCCTCCCCCAGTAGCATCTTTGGGAGCCCATATTGCCCTTCTAGCCTCATTACAAAACTGACTAGTCCAGTGTTTCTCAACCTTGGCAACTTGAACATGGGTGGACTTCAAGTTGCCAAGGTTGAGAAACACTGCCCTAGGCTATAGGAATCCCAGCAGCATCTGGATAGTTCCTGGATGAGTCCTGATCCATACTAATCAATTTTTACAGGTAGTTTTTATTTAAATAGAAAGAAAGGAAGGTCTATACAACAGTAGAAGAGTCTACCTAGGGAGTGTGCAGGTTCTCCATCTCTGGAGGTCTTTAAGAAGAGGCTGGATGGCCATCTCTTGAGGATGGTTTAATTGGCTTTCCTGCACGTGGCAGCAGGTTGGATGTAGGTGATCCTTATGGCCCCTTCCATCTCTACAGTTCCATGATTCTGTGACTTCTGATCCAATCCAGTGGTGACCCTCTTGTGCTTTTTCTTCACCTCTGGGTCCTAACAGATGACAGTTGTAAGAGCAAAGAGGAAGAGAGTCTTCTTCAACCAGAAGCTTCTGCCCTGGAGGAAAGGAACCGGGTTTCATCTCCACCAGCTGAAAGGGAGCTCCTCTGCTTCCGTCAAAGAAGAAGGAGTCCTGTGACTCAGCACAGACCCAAAAGACAGGGCCTAACAGAAGCTGCTCCTAGTGATCCTGGTGAAGCTGTCATCCAAGAGGAGGATCCCCAGGACAGGGGAGCAAAAGCATGTGCAGAGCAAAGGGAAAGATGTGCATCCAAAGCTGGTAAGAGCAGACAGACAAAAAACCTGCCCTGTTCTTCTCATTTATGCACAGGCATATATGCAAATGCAACTTCACCAATCTCTGCCTCCCTGTTATCCCCACTGTCTCTATCATTGCCCCCTGTCAGGCCCAGCCCAAGAACAACGATGGAACAGTCCAGTCCAGCCCAGTTCCTTTATTTGCCTACACCTTATAGACAGAATCTTGCCGAAGTAAATCTATTCTACAGCAACTAGTGGATATACCCTGGGAGATTCTAGGGAGTGGCTATCTTGAACCTCTTTTTCTCTTCTCACGCTCCCCCTGTGTACTCTGTTGCCTCTTGTCTCCTCCCCCCTCCTGGAATGCCTCCCCTCCTTCCTGATAGCCTTCGTCTCCCACATCACTCTCCTCCTCATAGATACCTTCCATCACACCCACGGAATCTCTATGTCCCATCATCTCCCTGATACCCCATTTAAGGTTAAAAGAATCAAGCCTTCTTTGGGTGGGTATGTATTGCTCTTCCTTTATGATTAAACGTCCAGATGCCTCCCTCTCATCAGCTGAGCTTATCCTTCCCATTCTGAAACTTCTCTACTGAGTCCAAGAGCAGAGAATATATGCAGTTTGGGGTTCAACTGTTAGGTTCTTGGTGTTACCATGTGGTAACATCAGTGCATGGGAGAGTAGAGTTTGCTGGCTGTTTATATATAGCTTGCCCAGTCTCTGTTGGGGTGTGGTTTCTTCCTTCCACTCTCCCATGCACTGATGATATTTTCTGGTTAAAAACCAGAAAAACCAAGAGGTTGCAGTACTGTGTGTAATGGTCTGTGGGAATGACCTTGGGAGACAGGAGGAAGAGCCACACCCAGGGGGATCTTCAGATAAGAAGCAGCTTAGCCCACAGCAGGAATGTGGGCGTGGAAAACATCTCAGAAGGGATGCACCCTCCCTAGTTTCTTGGGCTGTAAAGGCAACGTGGAGAGAAATTTACTTTCAGACTTGCAAGATTCTGTTCATGTAGCCTTACGATAAAGTAGAATTAGTCTATCTGGACATGCTTCTTGTCTGGACGTCTCGCAAGGCTGACACTGTGATTGATGTATTCATTGAAAAAGACTTGATGGCACATAATCAAGTATTGTGTTATAGGCAGAAAACATAAGTTTTTTTTTTTTTTTTTTAGAGTTTCCATTTTTGGATATAGATATTCTAGCAGCCAAAGTCCATGCAGTCATATGCAAGATATAATGATCCTTGGCAAAGTTGCAAAGTCATATGCAAGATATAATGATCCTTGGCTAGTTGAAACATAGCAGATGTTAACTAAGTAAGCTTGATATTGCCAATCTAGGTGTTTTCTCCCTAGATTTTTAAAATTTATCTGAAAAAAAAAATCTATAAATTTTTGCTTTTCAAAATTTGGATTGTTACAGTTATCCACCCAGGAATTATAATACTTTAGAATCAGAATTTACATTTGAAAACAAGTCAAAACAAAAATTTGCAGCTTATTTGTTTTAGCGTGCTAAGTGGAAAAATTAAATTTACCCTGTCTTGATTCTCTGGGTTGTGTGTTCTTTTTATAGCAAGCAATAAAGAGGGGAGAGAGAAGAAGGGAAACGAAAATTCTCCACTGAGACATTCAGGAGGGTCCTTGATGCAGCCTTGCAAAGAAAAAGCTTTTCTCCATAGAAAGAAAGAAAGTTTGAAGAGATGTCGTAGACCAGAGATAACTCAAACAGAGCAAGCTCCAAAAAAAACGATTTCTTGTGAGAAAAACGAGAATCCCATTAAAGGAGTCCAAGTCAGAGGAAAGAGTCACGGGGATGCGCCAAAAAAGATGCATTCGGAAGAAGCAGAATCCTCTTCCGAAACCAGCGAAATGGCCTGTTCAGCAGCACCCCCATTCAAATGTTTTGACTGTGGGAAAATCTGCGCTTATAAAGGTGTATTTATTATCCACCTAAGAACTCACACTGGGGAAAAGCCATTTCCGTGTTCAATTTGCAAGCAAAAATTTGCTTCTAAATCAACTCTTGTAAGACACGAGAAAATCCATGGAGGAGAGAAACCCCATTTGTGTTTGATTTGTGGGAAAAGCTTCTATTTCAGGAATTTTCTTCGAAAACACGAAAAGATCCATTCGGGAGAGAAACCCTTTCAGTGTACAACTTGTGGGAAAAGGTTCGGCAGCAGAGCGCATTTTACCAGGCATGAAAACACGCATTTAGGGTTGAAGTTGTTTACCTGTTTGTACTGCGAGAAAAGATTTGGAACTCGAGAACGGCTTGTAGAACATGAGAGAATCCACACAGGGGAGAAACCTTACAAATGCTCAGATTGTGGGAGAAGTTTCAACTGTTCGTCAAACTTTATCCGGCACAAGAAAATTCATGGAGGAGAAAAACCGTATACGTGTCCAGATTGTGGGAAAAACTTTAGGACCACTTCAAGCTTTAAACTTCATGAGCGAATCCACACTGGTGAGAAACCTTATGAGTGTTCTGACTGCGGGAACAGGTTCAGTAGCCATGCTGCCTTTCGAGGCCACAAGATAACCCACACAGAAGAAAAGCCATATAAATGCCTCGAATGTGGCAAATGTTTAAAGTACAAAGTCTCCTTAATTAATCACCAGAAGGTGCATAAATATAAATGCTCTGACTGTGATGAAAGTTTTAGTCAAAGCTCACTCCTTGAACGACACAGAAGAAAACATACTGGTGAGAAACCATTCAAGTGTTCTTACTGTGAGAAAAGCTTTAATCGTACGTCATTGCTGGTGGTACACCAGAGGAGTCACACAGGGGAAAAACCGTACAAATGCCCAGAATGCGGGAAAGGTTTTGTAACGAAATATAAAGTTTTCCGACATGAGACCATCCACTTTAGAGAAAAGAGTTCTTATCTCACTAGCCCCAAAGCAGTCCCTGCTCGAAAGAAACGGTTCAAATGCTCCCATTGTGAGAAGAGTTTTGTGCAGAGATCACGGTGCCTCGATCATGAACTGTCCCATCAGGAAAAGAGGTTTTGGGATTGTTCAGAATGTGGGAAAGGTTACACCACGCTTTGGTCTTTATGGCAGCATCAGAAGATTCACACGGGAAAGAATTCGTATAAATGCTCTGAATACAAGAAGACCTTCTCCAACAACTCATTTCTCCAGTTCCATCAAAGAAACCACTCTGAAGAAACACCGTATACGTGCTGGGATTGTGGGAAGGATTTTCGGTACTTGTCAGGCCTTAGAGTACATGAAAGAAGCCATACAGGAGAGAAGCCATTTAAATGCTTGGACTGTGGGGAAAGGTTTTTCAATGGTCCAGGACTGAGAAGTCATCAAAGGTCTCACCTGGAGGAGGAACCATATAAATGCTTGACCTGCAAGACAGGCTTTAAAGACTATTTGTCTCTTAGGAGACATAAACAAATCCATAAGCACACTAAAACATTTCAGTGTTCGGCATGTGGGAAAAGCTTCAAAAGTAGAACGCATCTGATTGGACATGAAAAAAGCTTACAGTGCCAGGGAAAGGGGGAGATTGGAAAAGCCAGTGACTCTACAAAAAGAAGTGTTGGCAGAGAATTGCGTTCTCAGGACCACTGCTAACAATTGAACTATTAATCTGCCACCAAAAATATTGGCAGGGAAAGTAGATTGGCAGATCAGAGAGGTGAAAAGCTAAAGATGCCCTGGGTCTGCAGGAGTCTTTCTGTGGAAACGTAAAAGCTAGTCCCAGTAAAAGCACGTGGGGACAGTTTGGATGCTGACACTGTTTCTGGATTTACTAATTCATTGTAATTCTGAAAAGTAGGTTGTTTTTTTTTAAAGGACAGGTGGATGTTGACTGAAACATCCCTGAATTTGAATGAAGATTTTTTGAACTCTCAGAGCATTGGAGGAGGTAGATAAAGCCTGATTTAGGATGTCATTCACTGTCGGAATGGCAGTGGAATAATAAATCAAACCATGGCTTTCATAAAATCTCGCATTTGTTGCCCTCCTGGTTTGTTTTTAAGCAAAATTTTATTTTATGGTAAACCACCCAGAGTCACTCACTGAGTGAGATGGGCGGTGACTAAATTTGAAATACAAATAAATAAATAAAATTCTGTTCCCCCGATAATAAACAAAAATCAAAGTTCACTCCCCCCCTTTTTTTTCCTCTGTCCTTCCTTTTGTATCAGAAGATCACTTTGTGCCTGCTCATTCCAGCACATGGGTTAATTTTACTCTGCAGTGGAAGAGTTAACATTTTGGTTAAACAGGGATTCTTTCTTACAAACCAGCAGAGCCCAATATCAGAATGCCCACTTATTGGAATAACTTGGTTACAGTTCATATTCTGGTGTATCTGTGCAGTTAGGTTCATTTAGTTTTCCTTCAGCCATCCCATATTTTAGACTCTCCTCCCAGGTAGCCTCTCCTTGGAATTGATTCTTCCCACTCTCCTGAGATTAAAATAGCCCTTAAAACACTTATGAATCTGGAAAGGTTTTTTGGGTTTTTTTTTTTTGCAGTGACAGTATTCAATACCAGTTTAAATTTTGGGGGTGCTTGGGACTACGTGGTGCTTTTAAATTGTTGATGATATTGTTAATATAATAAACATGGTTGATGTTATATTGTTGAAACCTTATGAAAAAGGGCTCCCAGTTTCTCTCATCTTTATTTCCTTACATTTGAAAACCAAGGGGATAACAAGGAAACTGATGTTCATGAACCTTCACACATTTCTCTCATTACTGTTATGTTGAAAGGCTTTAGGCAGACACCCTGTCTCCCAAAGTGTCGAGGCCATAAAGATACGGGAGGAAGTGACCCCAATCTGCATTCTAAAACAATAAAATTCAAAGATCAAAGGGGGGGTGCCCTGAACTCTGACTAGTACCCAATAGGTCATCAGGAAGATAAGTTTCCCCCAATCATAAGGAGGATCCAAAACTTAAGCCAATTTCAGCCAATCATTTGTTAATTGCTGTATCTCTTTGTAAGAAACATGTATAAAATCTTTGGCTGTGACCAGGGCTCTTCTCTGTCTTAAGGGGAGCCCCCAGCTGACTCTATTGGCAAGCTTTCAATAAAACTTTAA